GCTATGGCTGGTTTCAAGTGAACATTTTGGCAAACGCACATGAGGCTCTTCTCTCTATTTTGCCTGACAAAAGGCTGCAATGTATTTTGAACAGAACATGTCAGACTGCCTTATAGACAATTTAAATCTTTCTCATGAATTCTCCTGAACTCCAAGCACCAAAGTGTGAAATACTTGCGAGATTGCCAGCGGATGTAATGACATTACTGCTGGAGCTGTCTTGTTGCAAGGAGAAAAATCAGTCTTCATCATCCGGTTTTGTAGTCTTCTCGAATCAGATAAATTATCCCACTCTCAAAAACAGAGACTCTTTTGTTAAACAGTCTGGGGTGATGTTGGGATTTACTTTGTTTCCTATTCAGGTGCACACTGATCACAATTGCAGAGAAATAATTTCATTTAACTGATTTGAGCCAACTGCGAGCTCATTTCCGAGCGCTTCTTAATATTATAATTTAGAGGTTTTGTTTTGGATGGTCCGACAAATAATCCGAACCGGAAGTGAGGGACTTGGGAGAAACCGCATGGTGTCAAGAAAGTTAGGTTGTCGCTGCTGTGTTTCCAACAAGCTGTGTAGAGATAATGTGGCCCAAAGTTTTGTAAGTAATACGTACTTGCACCAATTGTTTAATGAATCTAAATTCAAATGTTGAGCTGAATTAACTGTAACGTTATTTGCTCGTTAATTTGTAAAAAACGTATATGGGTAAAAGCACACGGCTTTCAACTAGGCAATCTAAAAGTTGAATGTAAACATAATAAAACGCTGGTATTTCTTTCTTTCAAGTTTATATAAGTACATGGACCTTGTTTTAGTATATTTTATCATTTATTGAGCTATTTCCTTTCTTTGACAGCTTGTGTCAACTTTGTCAAAATACCTGTCCACCTTGTCAAAATACCTTCCGTGTCTGACAAATACCTATCAAATAGAAATAGAAGATACTCTGGAAGTCTTCAAAAAAAAATAAAGACAGCAAGAAAGGTGGTTATTTATTATCTTCTACAACAATCTGCTGACATTACTTTCTGAAGTGAATAATACAAACTAATACAATGTCTAAGGCAATGAGGTTATCGGAGAGAATGCGGCCTTTGTAGCTGGCATACCTGACCTAAATGTGAATAAAAGCACAATAGGACACACAGATAAGGCAAAAGTAAGCTTCAGGTAACACATGAAACATTTTGTCACATCATTGATGACAATGTTAAATACTTGAAACTGGTCTGTATCGTCTAAACTGAATTATGTACACGCCACACTAGTACAGCTGGACAAATGTTTTGTTTAAAGTTACACTTAAGAAAGACCCCAAAACCAAAGAAAAAAAAAACAACAACATAAAAAACATCCAAAAAACCCAGAAGAGACATATTATTTGCATGTCCATGTTTTATTGTGTGGAGAAACGTGAAACACACTGATTGGCAACAACTGATCCATTAAACCTGTCCAAAATTAAGGCATGCAGATACCATGCTGGTACCACTCAGATATCATTATGTATATACAAGATTTAACTGCACATTTATCACGTATCAGTAGTTCAGGTGTAAAAGGATTCTATAATTTCGTAATGAAAATGAGCGTGTGAGTCACGCCATGTTTGGCTATTCTATTTGAATAACTGTTATTGTTGACACAAGAATAAGATATGTTTGTGCCGTGAATACAAATCATGTTAGCGTTAAATCTTGACTTTCATCGATTTTACATACCTTTTCAAAGCCACTGGTAAACCTGTTTGATTGGTATTTTAGAAGATAATTCTTATACCGTTATCAAAAAGAGCTCCCTTGCTTCACAACAGTGTAGAAGTCTATATTCAAACGTCGCATCATAGTATGATGAAGTTGTTATAAAGTATCATACCTTTCTCAAAGAAAAAACCTAAACTATACTAGAGAAGGAAACAATGACTGAAAGCAACAAATCTACAAATTGTTCAGAATCTATCAATATACATCTATCATGGGTTCAACAATAGAAAATCTGTTTGAAATACCATGTGACTGGACACACTTGTATTGTACTATAGGCCTGTTGCCTCTTCAGTACCCTGAATAAAAGAAATTGAAATTGAACATTCCTGAATGAGATTCGAACATATTTAACATACGTTATGAACCATTTGCCGTCCATTGCCTTCTTTACTAAACTTTCGTAACTACACACTACCATATGCACGGCCAATCATTGACAGATTGCTCGCAAAACCGTTTGTGCTTCAGTCATGGGTCACCCTCGTGTCTGGAGATGTGACCTTCTCCATCGTATGGGTGAGTGTTGAAAAGGGGTTCTTTAGTGTACCACTTGACCAGTTAACACTCTAAACTCACATGTGGAAGGAGACTTTTTAACGAATAGTTAATTGTTCCCTTCATGTTTCATGCGAAGAATGCACATCATATCTACTGGACCAAAATGTAATTGTTAGATATGTAGATATATATAAAGTGTATAAAGAGAATAATACTGGGACTTAGTCGATGTTTCTCTATGAAATGAAGCACACTACAAACGATATATCTGGTTTCTGGTAACAATAGAAATATGAAGGAAATCGACCTGCAACTCGAAACGATGGCAGTGAATTTCTACTCGAGAATAAATTCTGGAATGCCTATGAACGTGTCGGTGATCGTATTTGCGCAGACATCGTAACCCACCTGACCACCGACTTGGGCTAGGTTACTGGGCATGGCGTACCTGGAGGATTCCAAGGGACACCAATCTACACAGTCTCCTCCAAGGAATACAGTTATTTTCGACCGGTGCGCCAGCGGCAGCAGGCTCAACACTCGGGGGTGGTATATACTTCAAACAGTCTATGTTATTTCGTGAGAAAGACATTCAATAATATGAATCAGTATTTCGAATATAACCCATAAGTAAATAGTGTGCCGGAGTGATATCATTGTAAAATGGGGCCATTTGAACTGCAATTTGTAAGAGAAGTCTAAAATCGTTGAATTGTTTCACTAAACACTGGCGACGGTGAAAGTTGTCAATTAAATAATTTATCCGATCTGTGCTTTGTCGATCATATACCTGCAGCCTTGACGTATATAAGATATTGCTATGTGTAGCAAACTCTTAAGTCGGATTGCTTTGATGGATGAGACCCACACTTTTCCTGCTCATACAAGCGGAACAGCAGAAAAACACGACTACAAAGAAGTCTTGGGTTTCTCAGTAACTCTCTGTGACGCAAACTGCAAACTCTCGTCAAATAATCTCATCTCCTGGTCGCGGCGATTCGCCCTTGACAGACAAAGGGGACAGTGGGGAAGATCTGACTGGGGAATGGTATGATGGTGAGATATTCATCACTAGTGGCGCTTTAGTGATGATATATTCATCCCTGTGGGCAGTATAAGGGTGCAGTATTCATCACTGGAGAGCGACACGACTAAGAGAAGCTCAATATTATAAGGTTTTGCTGTTTTTCAGGTGTAATCATCTGTTTTGTAGAACCGTCCGTTACTGAATCAGACGAAAGTTCAAAGCCTCATGGACATGGCAGTGACCGACCTGTGCACCGGCGTATTATTGTAGTGGTGGAACATGGGTGTCTTACAACACACAACGTCAGGTGTACAATAACTGCTTATGAACATGAGATGACTATTTTATGTGTATTCTACTTTCAGCAGGAGATATGATCACGTTCAACCTCTCTACGGCTTTGGTAATGACACTATTATCTTGGGGTTTTCTGAAATGTACAGACAGACAGACATTTTATTCAGTAATAGGCCACTGGCCCAAAAGACATTCATAAATATAATAAGAAGTTACATGCGTTTTACCAGGGAGACTATATAACGTTGTAGATTATCCCTGGTTTTACATAAAATGTACAGATGCTTACAAACAGGTTGGACAATAAGAAAATATGTATGATATGATTAAGTGACTCTTGGATAACTTTTTGAAATGTTGTAATTCTGGCAAGAAAGAACATTCTGCCCAGGTTAGACCATATGTATCGTATTAACTATTAATTTTACTCGTTTCAAAATTATTCTTACAAATATAAAACATCAGACCGTGACAACTTGTCAAAACTTCATGTATGAAAGATATTTGAAATTCCTTCTCATTTTCGCACTGCATTTCTTGTTTACTATTAGCTGGTCAGATCGCCGAGGGCAGTAAAGCCCGGCACTGACGACCTAGTTTTGTATACTTCCGACACAGCTACTCAGTCTTGGGCGATTTTCTAAGTGGAGTAATACGCATATTAGTAGATTAGTTCACATATCGCGTCAGGTTAAAAGGCAGAACATAGCAGATTAGTGAAGATAACCTAGTAGATTATTGCACATATTTTTGGTGGTGCTGCAGTTAGTCTATTTTCTTATGAAGGGTAACACACTATCAGTTACTTCATTATGCCCCATTATCATATCCCAATGTTAGTCGCCTACGGCAATCTTGGGGTTTGGAAAACCAAGTCAATTTCCTGTGGATCACAATGTAAAACATGCATTTATTCCATACTTTACATAGCCTTGACAAAATATTTGGTTACTGTGAAATACTGCTGCCAGGGAAGGTTGGTGAGTGCCTTATGTGGAACTCTGCCTTGAAGAGTATATCCGTGAAAGTCAAAGATGCTTAAGAACTCCCGAATCTTGTCATATTTCTATACTTTGTCTTTGGTGGCATGAAAAGTAATTTGATGATTGGGTGTTCTGTAACTTTTTGTGAGTATTATTTCTGAGCATGATGACAACAGTGAGGCTATGACTTATGCAAAGTTGTCGATGAATGTTAGAGGACATTATGTGAATTTGTGAATCAAATACATTAAACCGTGGCTGTATTTGTTGAACCAGTGAAGATCCGTGTTACAATTGGTCCTCAATAACCCATGCTTGTCGTAAGAGGCGACTGACGGGATCGGGTGGTAAGGCTCGCCGACTTGGTTGACACATGTCATTGTATCTGGAAGATGGCTGACTGTAGCGTTAACCAACCAACCAGCCAACCAACTGTATTTGTTGCACCGCTGCAGTATTGGGTCAGGTGTGTGTGTGAAACGACATCGTGGGCGCTGAAGGACGGTTCGCAGATCAGAGACAGTGTGAAGATAAGGCTGGAATGTCGTGGAGGTAAGAACAACATCTCAGACCTCTGCATATTACAAATAATAACATGGTTTCTATGATGTTTAACATAAATACCTACATGATATGAACAGAGTGTGACCATTTCTCGTAGAACCTAATCCTTGTTCAAGTCAAAAAGTGCTGTCCATCAGAATCTTGCGTTATTTCAAAATATGTCCAGAAGAGCGCCGTTTACAATGAATGAACTCGTGGCGTTTTGGCAGTTAAGAGATAAGCCTACCATGTTTGAGATTTGATGTAATCCCACTGTAGCTTCTATACCTTCTGATGTTCCCCACTAAAGCAATCGGATTCAAATTAAACAAAATAGGTCATATTATCTACTGGTCCACAGTGGGATTACAACTTCAAAACACAGATAGATTTATCTCCAATCTACCGTGAAGATACGACTAGTTCAAATTAACTATGCAAAAAAAGAAGTTTCTTAAACAATCCCAAAGATATATGTTTAAAATTAATCGCAACCTTTCGCTTGCACATTTTCACTGGTCGGTCATTTCTTGGAAACTGAGTTTTGAATTTTGTCATATCGTTTGTCAGAAAGTGGCCGCAGTGCGGAGAGTTTTGTGGTTTCTAGAATTGTGACGTGTTGTACTCTTTTAGCGAACACTTTGTGTCAATTCTGATTGCAGCGATCCATTCATAGTTTGCATTTTTGGCGAGACTGATTATTCTCCAGCTTTTCTGTGTGTTTATTATCACGATAATGGAAACGATTCTGCTTTCGTGTTTCATACCCTCGAACAATATTGCTGTTATCATCATTTTAGTGGACAGCATTTCGTTGTAGTTGGCCTCGTAGCCGAGGCCAAGCCCCAGGCAAGGTAACAGCAAGCTTCATAATTCAACGTCTTTTGGCATGACACTGCAGGAAAGTGAACCACCAACCTGGCCCTCCAGTACATCCAATATACCACCGACGGTCCTCATGACAAATATATGAACATGATTATGTCTACGGCATGGGCGTCTTTCTGTCAGTTTCAGGTCACTGCGCTTTATTGTTTACTAATATGCCAAACATACTTATAAGGAGAGAATGATTGTTTGACAGCTATTCAGAATCGAAGAATACGAAGAATATTTGTGAAAACGAAATAGAATGTTTTGTCTTCTTTTCAGGATAAATATGATCACAATCTTGTCCATGTTATGGACGCTGCAAGGGGTGTGGTGTGACACGCCCCTCACATTCACGTCGTCATGGCCAACCGGACACAAAGGGAAACTCTGTGTCCCCGTGAATAAGGAACTACACGACTGGCGGATACATATCGTGTTTAGTGACCCTGTGTCGAAATTGGATGTAAGTGTTTCATGCATCCTTCATCGTTCTCTCTCTCTTATACAGACAAGCACAAACACGCCCACAGACACACACGCACGCAGACACACATACAGGCATACACACACACACACACGCGCGCGCGCACGCACACACACACACACACACATACGCGCGCGCACACACACAGAGACACACAGAAAACCCTGCACCAATTTTTCATGTGTGACTGGTCTGATGTAATACAGTCACAATCTTCTCAATAACCTAACCTTCCGCGATCAGATGTCGGCTCAACATCTACATAGATCAGATACCAGCAATGTTTATTACTTTTAATGTTTATCATAAGCGTTGTGAGACATTCTGATTGGAAACAGTCGTTTGTAAAACAGCCAAATAAGGCTTTCACAGTTATGTTCAGTTTTACTAAATGTTCCCGTTCCAGGTGTTCGAAGCGGAAGTTGTTTCATCGCTAAACAAAGACACGGAATACATCATCAAGAACGAGGTCTGGAACGGCGCCGAACATCCGGGCGACCAGATATGTGAAGAGTTTATTGCGCACACAGACAGCACTGTTGCCAGTCTTTCTGGACGTGCATTCCTGGAAGGAACAGGGGGAGGTGTTTCTGGTCAAACCTTGCCTCCTGGCGTCTCGGGAACAAGACCCTCACTGACATTACCACCTGCATCTGGAACAGGTACGAAACATGCATCGGTCCCATTATCAGATATGGTTGATAATCAACCTGACTGAATTATGTATCTCGGCAGCAGTATCATTCAGGGATAGCGTAGCCTCGGTCTAGGGAAGAGTGAGTGAATTAGTTTTAACGCCGCTTTTAGCAATATTCCAGCAATATCACGGCCAGAAATATTCCAGAAATGGGCTTCACACATTATACCCATGTGGGGAATCGAACCCGGGTCTGGGCGTGACGAGCGAACGCCTTAACCACTAGGCTACCCCAACACCCCACATAGAAGAGATGCGCGTATACTGTGTCAGAGATATCGCATACAAGCCATGCATTCATTCTGGAAGATTTGTCATCTTGTTAAATAAACCATGATCTAGTTTACAACTTATAAAGCGAGTGAGTGAGTGAGTTTAGTTTTACGCCGCACCCAGCAATAATCCAGCTATATGGTGGCGGTCTGTAACTAATCCAATCTCGACCAGACAATCCAGTGATCAACAGCAGGAGCATCGATCTACGCAATTGGGAACAGATGACAGTCAGCGAGCCTGGCCAGCCTGACCACCGCCTCTTACGACAAACATGGGTTACTGAAAATTACCCTGATCTTCACGGGTTACTTATATAGCCACCGGTGTCAGTCAACAATCCCAGCAACAATATTATATTATATACTGGTACTCACAAGAAATTAATTTTTTTAAGAATACATTTTTCTATTTTACATCAGTTACTCTGTCATGCCGAGAGAATTGTGTGATCTTTAACTTCTCTTGGTTAGTTTATATCAGTTTGGAAGTACATAATAGTCTCAATAAGGCAGGGACAGTAACTGAACATGGCTATGCATCGCGTAGATCGTAGACATAGGACTACCTTAATTCCTTTGATTTGAATGAAAGACTGTTTTCTGTTTGAATACATGTCTAATAAGCTAATTTTAATATACAGAAAACCAAACATTTCAGATCATACGGGAGGTGGAACTGCCAAATACGACTACGAGAAAGTTTTAGGATTGTCCATTCTATTTTATGACGCGCAACGATCTGGTAAACTGCCGGCAAATAACCCCATATCCTGGCGCGGAGACTCTTCCTTGACTGACAGAGGTGAAGACGGTGAAGGACCTGACCGGGGGCTGGTATGATGGTAAGTTGTGGGTCGGTCATTGTTTACAGAGTGACTTTTAATGGATGGATAGATGGGTGGATGTTGAAACAACCTTCATGATATCACTACTAATGTGTTCCAGCGGGTGATTTAATGAAGGACAACTTTCCTATGGCTTCGGCAACTACCATATTATCCTGGGGTTTCCTGAAATGGTCGGACGCTTACAAGAAGGCTGGACAAGAAGATAATATGTACGACATGATTAAGACGCCGCTGGACTATTTTCTGAAATGTTGGAATCCGACCAAGAAGGAATACTACGTGCAGGTGGCAATGAATTTTTCTGTAATCTAACTACTAGTACAAGTTCAGTTTGTGTTCGTCTCATTACATTAAAGGTCCTAGTATGTATACAAATGTAATCCAGTACAATATTAAATCATCAAAGCAATCAAGAAATGACAGTCTTAATATTATAATGACATACATGTCAAGGAGCGGCATTTTACGTTTCTAAAAAAATGAATACCATAGCTACTTACACCATCAATATGGAGACTTTTTGTGACAGATTGGAGAGGGCAGCCTTGACAGCAGTTATTGGGGAAGACCCGAGGACATGCCACCAAATCAGAAGGCTTTCAAAGTAACCGCCGCAGCACCCGGAAGTGACGCAGCTGGGATCACTGCTGCTGCCCTTGCAGCTGGTTCAATGCTATTCCTCTCCAAAGGTTGAGTTGTTTTCTGTTCTTATCATCATCATCATCATCATCATCATCATCATAAAACATTTATATAGCCCCAGTTCCATTCCAAAAGTACTGCTAAGTAGTGGTCTCTGAACAACTCGAGAATGAAAAGTTAACACTGTCACTGTATGTTTTCTTAAAAGTTATGTCTTCAGTTATAGATTTTAAAATCTTCAGATTGTTAATTGTCCTTAACTCCAATGGAGTTGACTACTCAATTAAAACCCCTCAGTGGTTAAAGCGACTATTGTATATTGGAACATCTGAGATGGAAGTAACTGTAAAATAGTTAACAAGCATCATACACTCTAGCACTATAAAAAACTGCCATCAAAGATATAATATGTATTCATCACTAACTCGAGTAGCTGTTATCTGGTTCCACACCTGATACAGATCCAAAGTACTCGACGACATTGCTGGATGCAGCTGTATCCTTGTACAACTTCGCTAAAACCTACAAAGGTATCTACAGCAAGAGTATTGCTCCCGCTGCAGCGGGCTACCCGTGAGTGACATGTTTACTCTGGTCGCTAGTTACCATTTACATCACTTCCACTATAATAATGGAGAAATAATAACCATACTTCCAGAAGGACTGGGGTGGTGGGGCAGCCTAATGGTTAAAGAGTCTGTTCGTCACGCTGAAGAACCGGGTTCGATTCCCTACATGGGTACAGTGTGTGAAGCCAATTTCTGGTGTCACCCGCCATGATATGGCTGGAATATTGCTACAAGCGGCGTAAAAGCATATTCTAGATTAGAGTGACTTCTTCGAACTAAAACAGGTTACGGTTGATAATACTTTCTCTACAATGTTGCCCAATGACCTGTATTGTGTTAGGATGACATGTTAAAATGCACTCTCAGAATGCCCAGTTACTTCTTGGCTCAGGACAAAAACCCTAACAATTCAGCGATGTCATCTAAACGGTTTTCAAGCACTGTATAATATTCATAACCTTGAGTTCTGTAACAATATCCATGTTGTCCGTTGTATTAGAGGATAAGCAGTTTGGTTATCCATGCCCTCCTGTCGCTAATATATTGACTGGGACCCTCATTAGTATTCACGAAGAGAAAAGTAAATACTTGCAACATAGTTGTACGTCACCGAGGTAAGGGGCGGTCGAGTAGCCTAGTGGTTAAAGCGTTAGCTCGTCACGCTGAGGACCCGGGTTCGATTCCCCACATGTGTACAATGTGTGAAGCCCATTTCTGGTGTCCCTGCCGTGATATGGTTGGAATATTGCCATACTCACTCACTCATCTATGTAAACTTGGTATGAAGAAAACAGGCAGACGGGCATGCACGCACACATGCACACACTTACGGACGACACGAAGGTTTCCCAGTGAGTTAAATGTGAGTTACATCATAAATAGTAATCTTTTCTCCACAAACTAAAAGTCTCATCTTAAGACATCTGGCGTGCTCTGTAGGTCCAGTGGCTACAACGACGAACTCTGTGTGGCGGCTAGTTTGCTGTACAAAGCAACGAAGAAAGACAGCTATCTCGTTGATGCCAAGGGTTTCCATGTTGCCAGCACCTCCTGGGCACTGTCCTGGGATGATGCAATTGTGGAATGTCAGGTAACTACTAATTCTACCATGACTTCAGTAAATACTGGATTGGGCTTGGCTCATTAGAGTCATTCAGAGGTATATAATCACGTTAAATACATCTGATTTTCCAACACAGTATGTATTTTTATAAATATCTTAATAACGTGGTTCTGGCAGAATGAAGATAAACATATTGTGTTGGAAAATCATATACAAATGCATATAACGAAATCATAATTACTAATAATACGTTGTAATACTGACAATGGACAGTATAGAGTAATGAAACGGTCATTTATAATAGGGCAGAGTTTAGTTTTATGCTGCATTGAGCAATATTCCAGCTATATGGCGGCGGTCTGTAAATAATCGAGTCTGGACCAGACAGTCCAGTGATCATCAGCATGAGCATCGATCTACGCAATTGGGAACCGATGACATGTGTCAACTAAGTCAAGGAGCCTCACCACCCGATCCCGTTAGTCGCTTCTTACGACACGCATGGGTTGCTGAAGACCAATTCTGAGGGGTCTAAAGAATAGGACAGTCGCTTGGGAGAATCATATATACAATGCCCATATCTTGGGGGAACCTAGAAAATGTATTGTATGATGAAGTATATTAAGGCGTTTAGGATACCGATGTCTGAAGGTCATATTTAGAAATTCAATAGAAACTAAAATGGATTGATACGATACCGATTTCTGTTCAACCCATGCCCAGCTCATGTTGTACGAGCTGACGAATGACGCCAGCTACAAGACTGAGGTGGAGTCCTTCCTGACGAGCTGGAGACCCGGGGGTACTGTGACCTATTCCCCGTGCGGTCTGGCGTTCAGGAGCAAGTGGGGGTCTCTCAGATATGACGGTAAATATTATAAAAGAAAAACATAATAATTCGAGGGTATATTGAAATATATACTGCTGTAGGCAGTACGACGTGTACAAGTTTACGCTTTCGGTAAAACTTCCGCCCGTAACCCCAGACCAAAGCTTTGAAAAATTCATAATCCCTGGTCGGAATGTTTGAAGTCTCACGCAGGATTATTTTAAGGATGGGGCAAAGTAACCCTAACCATGGGGATATTTGAAGGAGGGGTTAGGGAAGAACAGTTCAGGAAATGTTTTTGTACCTCTGGTATGTTTCGCCATTAGATATGGCACCCATAAAGTTGGTATGTCGTACCCTGCCTGCAGACGAAGTTTATTATCGTATGAATCCCGTGTTACACGTGAGAGTGATTATAACATGATGACGTACACGTGTTTTCTTCAAGCAAACGCTGTTTTTGTTGCCCTGGCTGCCGCTGAAGACGGAATCCATCCACTTGAGAACCGACAGTGGGCTTTGAGTCAAATTAATTACATGCTTGGTGACAACAAACAAGACATGAGCTTTGTTATCGGATTTGGGACCAAGTATCCCTTACAGCCTCATCACCGAGCGAGGTACTTGTTAGTATGTACTCTACTAGGATGTGTCATGTCAGCACATAATGTTTGCGGGGCGGTGGGGTAGCCCAGTGGTTAAAGCGTTTGCTCGTCACGCCGAAGACCCGGGTTCGATTCTCCATATGGGTACAATGTGTGAAACCCATTTCTGGTGTCCGCCGCCGTGATATTGCTGGAATATTGCCAAAAAGCGACGTAAAACTAAACTCACTCACTCACTCATAATGTTTGTTTTCTTTGTTTTAACCTGTATGAGCACGTTTCAAGGTTTTGCTGGTCCATTTAGATGAGAGGTGGGTCCCATGATATTCATTATGAGACTGTGATTTCTTTAGCTCTTGCCCTGATCCACCTGCCACATGTGATTGGAACGCATTCAACGCTCCGGGTCCTAATCCCCATGTCCTGAAGGGGGGGCTGGTTGGAGGCCCGCTTGGTAATGACTCTTACGTAGACAAGAGGGGCGACTACGTCCAGAATGAGGTTGCTGTTGACTACAACGCCGGGTTCCAGTCTGCAATTGCAGGTAGACAACGCAAAATGCTTTTCATTGATTTATGATAATGATTTCTATGACTATTTAACTTAAACATGTGTATACAGATTAGAGATATCTGCAATCTATATGCTCATGCCAATAATTTTAGGTTATCAACCCCGCAATTGTGAGTGGGTGAGCCTATAAAATTGAAGGGCATCAGTATATTTAGAAGATATACTGACACATGCACAACTGTTTGTGGGACTGAGTGGGTGAGTGGGTGAGACTGTTTGGGTGGGACTGAGTGGGTGAGTGGGTGGACTGTGGGTGAGTGGGTGGGTGGGACTGTTTGGGTTAGTCGCCCAGCACAGTAAACATTGATCCGATTATTTCGAGTCTGTGCCAAGCGGACTGAGCCATTCAGAGGTTGGTCAAATTGAGTCACCAGTTCGCCCCAGAACGACTCAAGCCTTTCTGTTGAATGAGGCATAAAGCATCACTCCATTGATGTCCAGAGCTTCATTCACGCTCACTGATAATACATGCTTTTAAAGGAACCAAAATAATTAATTTGAAAATTGCTATGTTTCCAACAGGATATTTCCAAATGGAATGCTAAGGTGTATTTTCATATGATTAACCTGTTAAGTTTTCATTAATTTTGAATGTTGCCGAGTGCAGTTTTACAAAGCAGACAGCAATATCCCAACTGTATCACGCCCTGGGAACAATAAACTCACAATTCTCACACGACATATAATTAATCACTTGAACAGACTCTCTCCTCCTTAATATAGGTTCATAGTTCTGATTTGACCACACACGTGCGGCTTCCTGCAGCTGGCAATTTGTTAATTTTATTTCGTCTGTAGATGAGCTACAAATGTAGTGTAAGAGGGTGTGTAGTTAACGCTACATTCGATGAAGGTCACCCCTCATGAGACATATCACAAGCATGTATGACAATGATTGTGTGTATGCTATATAATCCAATATAGTAGAACATGTATTTTTGCCATGTTTGAATCTTGTCACAGGCCTCATCCACTTGACGCTGAGCGGAGATCTACCGCCAGCTCCAACTGCCAAATGCTGACGATTCCTTTACGGATTTTAATTAATTATGTAAGTCCTTTACTAACATAATGTATGGTAAGGAATAAAGACTCAAGTTGATCGTGTTTCTAGTGTTTTTACGTGGCCTATACTTGCTGTAGAACTGAGCAAGCAGACCCTGTATGGAGTTTTAATACAAAGGGATGATTAATGGATCTGGATCCCGATCCACAAAACGATCGCAGCGCTACGACATTCGCAAGCCTATGATAACCTATAGGGGTACGACAGGTCGTAACGTTACGAACGCTTTGCGGATCGGGACTCTGGTGTCATAGTACTGCGTGGTTCTCTGGTCCTTATGTCAAGGTCATGTTAAAGAAGAGCTTGAAGGTGAAGGTTTTGTGTAAGCTATCATGAGTGAAAATTGCAGGTGTATCAAAAGCTCGCGTGGGTCATCAGATCTTCGTGATACAAGGTATTCACGACACCGTCACAAACACATTCAAAGACAGATGAATTATTTCCCTGAAGGAATACAGGAACATTTGGTACAAGTTAAAAGAAGAAGTTGCATCAAAGTTTCAAAGTCGTCAAAGTTGGAAACGCCCTCCACATTTCTTCCACAAAACGTCATCTGAACTATGACAATGGAGTATCAAAGGTAACTGACCTTCAAGTACATGACATGTCCCCTATTAAGTTTCATCCAATCCCTTTCATGTTTAATGTACTGAATGTACCGCGTGCGTAAAACATAACAAACAGAATAGTAGCGGAGTACTGTTTATTTCTGCCATTGCTAGACACTTTGCAAGTCCATACTTGACCTGTTCAACAGAGAACGTGTCATAAATGATCATATTTGATGAAGGTCATCAATGGCCATGGCATATATAGTAAATTGCAAGGACATTTTGACATAAAAACAATATGTTAACAAACTCACTATGAATTGCATCTATCGGTAAAATGACCAGGTTTGGGTTTTGAGTTTGATGCCGTCGACCATGCTGTTACTGGGATATTGATGTTACTGTCATACTGCCACACTCACTCACACATCACATACCTTGTTCAACATCCGGGACACGCGCTAGCGTAGAGGGACAGGATCTCACACAGGTTGTTGTCGATGAGGATGGTGCATATTCGATTCTCTGCAGTACATTGTCAAATAGATAACGATGTCCAAAATATTTTCGCTGTGTGAGAAAATCTCTTGGTTGATTTTCTGTGCATTCCCATTCGTTATAATGAAACATAAACGCAGTTAAACATTTTACACTGCATCATTCGCAACAAAATCACAAAAATTCATTTTTACTTGTGCAAGTATTATATAAACAGTACTTAGTATGAAATGATATTTGATGATGTAATATAATAAGTTGTACGAATCTATCGGTTCTTTAAGAAATCATTAGTACTTAAATATCAAACATAGATACGTTTCAATGTGTCTCTTGGTTGCACTACCTGCTTCACATGTACACGTGTCCGAGTTCAGCGTCTCATTGTCCGCGCATGTGACGTCACACGGACTATCAGTTGTACTAGTGCCAGTGTCACCTGTGGAAGTCACATAGAAGTCACCCGTCGTGATCAGCATTTACTGCAAGGTCACCCGGGATCGACTGATGTTTCCATCGTGCATGGGAATAAACAGGTGACTGTTTGTAATTCTGACTGATGTTTAAATACAGGTTCGTCACTTCGATCCGCTGCTTGTTAAATACATGCATCTTAATGTCTGTCTAATGTCTGAATCATAATCTGTGTTTAAGGTAGCGTTGTAATTTAAGCCATATGTATCAGTTACGGTGGATCACAGACGTAAGGGACAGAGTTGGAGAACTAGAAATTACGCACAAGATTTAAAACTGCATTCTGTAAAACACGTGCTGTTCAAACTGAAAACAAATTTCACTATCTATTCCAATGTCCTGTTTACAGTTTAAATTAATTCCTAAAATTAGTTGATAGTGTAGACAATAATCACAGAGATAGACTTGCGAGGATGTTCCGATATTTGGATATTATCCTCCTTTAGTACTTAGCAAATATCACAGACGCTGTCAATCGTGTTGGATATACTGCAGTTATTAGTTTTAAACCATATTTGTAATCAAGCGTGCGTGGGTCTGAGGCTAAAGTACCACCTCCAATGCATATGAAGATCCAGATGTGCGTTAAAGCGGGGTATTTTTCAAGTTAATTACATTCTTAGCAAGTTTGATTCAAATTATTCAAACTCTATAAAGTCCACCAATTCATTACTCTGGTCATGTGTACATCCCCGGTGGACCCAGCCTTGTTTCTATGAAGAGATAGTTGCAGTACGAGTATGTTAACCCAGTGTCAATTGTGTACAAGTGATTGCTTTCAGCAGGGATTTATTGTGGACGTTTTGTGATTGAAATATGGGAGGTACGATCGTCTTAAGGTGCTGGTACCGCTTTGTAGAACACACCCCAGGCAGACATTACAGATATATCCCACGACACCTGCTGGATCATGAAGCTAAAATTATAAACAAACGTCAACTGTCACTCACACTGGCCGCATGTCTGTGGACAGAGCAGATCTCTGACTCCTTCGAACGCACAGTACCTGTCGAGGTCAGCAGTTATCACGGGGCATATGTAAAAGTCGGCGGACGAACATTTGTCTGAGAATAGAGTTTGAATACATTCACCATAACATGTCTCTTATGCTTTAAGATGTTTGCTCACTTCAATCTGTTACTATTAACATTGGACATCCTTAGTAGCTGTACATGTTACATGCACGGACCTACATCCACGTGTAAGGGAGTATTTGCACAACTGACCAAAGCGTTTCAGGAGGAATTCCCCAGGAACATAGCCGTAGTAGTTTCGGTCTGTAGCAAGGAGGTGTAGAGCAGTACGGCTTTATGTCAGCAGAGAGGCTACGTTTCATCCATATAAGAATCAAATTAAGTTAAATATTCACAATATTAATTGTTGAGTACAGCTTTTCAAAGTTAGACAATAGGTTCCGGTTTTTAAAGACTGACACCAGTGTGTATATGAGGCTTACCACAACGCCCACAGGAAGCTGGGCACAGCTGGATACCCATGAGAGGGTTGTCACACAGGGCAGCGTATACTGGGTTGTTGGCCAGTACTGGACAGAAGGGCTGGTCTCTAACGGCACAGTTCGCTAGCAGATATGAATCACAGCATCATCAGTCCAAATATTTTAACATAGCTCCTTTTAATACCTGATGTACAGGTGTAATAATGAGTGTTTCAAGGGCATGTGAACTATTCTTTGTTTTAGATATTAGTCCGTTGGTAAATATAATCCACCAGTGACTTCAAGACAGTTGGGTAATGAAATATACGATTAGGCACAAACTGGATTAAAAGTAATGGGTATGTTGCACCTACCGTTGACAGGGACACAGGTACAAGTTGTATCATCGGGAATCTCGTCATCTCCACACGTGAGGTCACACGATCCACCTGGGCCTGGTGCGGGTGTAGTGTCTGGATCTACATTGGTAGATACTCAACTAGTGTATGTCCTTCAATAATGTATATGTACAACTGATACACGTGCTAGAACAATGTGTATGTATGTGAACATCCCATATCAACATCCACGTCAACATCCCGTATCAACATCCACGTCAACATCCCATATCAACATCCACGTCAACATCCAATATCAACATCCACGTCAACATCCCATATCAACATCCACGTCAACATCCCATATCAACATCAACATCCATATCGTCAACATCATATCATCCGCATCATCACATCCCGTATCAACATCAATCATCCAACATATCAACATCCCATATCCATCGTCAACATCCCATATCAACATCCACGTCAGCATCATATCATCCCATATCAATCCCATCAACATCCACGTCAACATCCCATATCAACATCCACGTCAACATCCCATATCAACATCCACGTCAACATCCCATATCAACATCCACGTCAACATCCCATATCAACATCCACGTCAGCATCATATCCGTCCGTCAACATCCATATCAACATCCCATATCAGCATCCATATCAACATCAACATCCACGTCAACATCCCAACATCCCTGTCAACATCCCATATCAACATCCACGTCAACATCCCATATCAACATCCACGTCAACATCCCGTATCAACATCCACGTCAACATCCATATCAACATCCACGTCATCCACGTCAACATCCACGTCATATCAATATCAATCATCACGTCAGCATCCATATCAACATCCACGTCAACATCCCATATCAACATCCACGTCAACATCCCATATCAACATCCACGTCAACATCCCATATCAACATCCACGTCAACATCCCATATCAACATCCACGTCAACATCCCATATCAACATCCCATATCAACATCCACGTCAACATCCCATATCAACATCCACGTCAACATCCCGTATCAACATCCACGTCAACATCCCATATCAACATCCGTCAACATCCCATATCATCCACGTCAACATCCATATCAACATCCACTCCCATATCAACATCCACGTCAAATATCATCCCCCATATCAACATCCAGGTCAACATCCACGTCAACATCTACGTCAACATCCATATCAACATCCACGTCAACATCCCATATCAACATCGATACAGCAACATCCCATATCAACATCCACGTCAACATCCCATATCAACATCCACGTCAACATCCCATATCAACATCCACGTCAACATCCACGTCAACATCCCAAAAGATCCCACTGCAACCGTATATTCCGACAATGTCATTATCCAAGTTGTGTTAATGTTGTAATCCCCGACCATGCTTTACGAATCTACAGATGTACGTACCGCAGGTTCCACAAGCTGTGGGGCACAGTGTTTCGCCAACCAACGGCTCGTTACACAAAGCTGAGAACGCTGGACTGGTGAACACCTGGCAGATCTGTAGCTCGGGGAGGGTACATCTATCCACATCTAGACATCGGGGAGCAACAAATCATGTTGGTTGTCGTTCAGATAAGGCTCTTGTTAGACATTAAAACCACGGCACGCATAGCATTACATATATATCACTGTCCAGTCATATTTGCAGTATTTGATAAATTTTAATGTACAACTAAATGTGTCAATACGCCCCTGCAAATATATGAGTGGAAGTCCTCCATCGGAGCCATGCATGGGCGCGTATCTTAGCGCTACGACTACCGTAAGTCTGAACGTAAGTATCGGAGTTAAAATCACCTTAGCGCTAAGACTATAGTGAGTCTGAATGTGAATATAGGAGCTAAAATCACCTTAGCGCTGTGACTATCGTGAGCCTGAATCTGAAGATGGGAGCTATGATCACCTTAGCGCTGTGACTATCGTGAGCCTGAATCTGAAGATGGGAGCAGCGACCTTAGCGCTGTGACTATCATGAGCCTGAATCTGAAGATGGGAGCAGCGATCTTAGCGCTGTGACTATCGTGAGCCTGAATGTGAAGATGGGAGCAGCGACCTTAGCACTGTGACTACCGTGAGCCTGAATCGGAAGATAGCTAGCAACGAACAATAGCTATATACACGAACAATTAGCTATAACGAGACCTAGGTATTCCAGATCCTAATCCTGTACAAACGAACCCTATATATACGAGCAGATAGCATATTGACGAAGAGTAGATATATATTCGAACAGCAGCTATATACACGAACAGAAAGTGGAAAAGTAACATTAAGCATATAAACAAACAAAATGGTTAGTAACAATGGGCATATAACCCAACAGTATTCATACAAACAAACAATAGGCCTATATACGAACAGAATGCATGTAATCGAACAGTAGACTTATAAGAATAGTAGTTGTTTTAATGAACAGTAGCTGTATCAGCGAACAGTAGGGATATGGACGGGCAATAGGTTTATAAACGAATACTAGGCTTATACCCTAAAACGGAAGGCTTAAAAACCAAGTCAGCGAGCCTGACCACCCGATTCCGTTAGTCGCCTTTTACGACAAGCATGGGTTACTGAAGATCAATTCTAATCAGGTTCTTCACCGGTCAAAAGGCCAATAAACGAACAATGGGCATATATAAACGAACAGACGGCTGTGCATTCATCACTTGCATTCTTGAAACCCGCTGGACAATGAGACCAAGTGACCTTGAGAGTGATTTCTGGACTTGTAGGTCTGTGTCAAGGTAGACCATACACTTACCTCCGCATTCTCCACATGAGACGGGGCAGAGGTCTGCTATCACTTCTACTGGACACAGCTCGGCCGGTATCAGGACGCACAGGTCGCTTTCTCCACTTTCACATACTGAAACATGAATCAAATATAGATACTATTAGTAATTTAAAAGTCCGTCACTCGAGGTAAAGATATTATAGTTTGTGAATATAATATTGATATGTATAATACATGTAGCTAGTTTTTCTCTCATGTACAGGCAAAGTGGATAGTTGAACGAAAATTAAGACGAGGTCACATGTACTCAGTGATGTGCACGTCCACCTTTGGACTAATGACATGCTTCAACCGTCCAGTTATTTCAATCAATTCGATCACATTTCACATTTCAAGATACGATCACAAACACCTCTGCTGTACAGAGCTCTCATTTCCCAACGGCGACCCACTTCTGAAGCTCCCTGGCTATGAATACCAATGCTGAGTGGTGATTATACTGACAACATGTCCAGTAGTTTATATTGCCTCCAAGAATGGTACGAGCACGGATGACGTTCTTGTGTGGCATACATATTGAAATATAATCGCATTTTCGACACGGGTTCTTCGTGTAGGGGGGCGTTGGGGTAGCCTAGTGGTTAAAGCGTTGGCTCGTCACGCCGAAGACCCGGGTTCGATTCCCCACATGGGTATAATGTGTGAAGCCAATTTCTGGTGTCCCCCTCCGTGATATGGCTGGAATATTGCTAAAAGTGGCGTAAAAACCAAACCCACTCACTCACTCTTCGTGTAAGACCTGAAGTCTGAATACATACATCCTTGATGGAAGCCAAGCCGGCTTACCAACTACTTCCATACTTACAGGGAGAAGGAGCTTCTGTGGTTGCACAGAGAGTGGGCGAAATCCAGTAACATGTGGAACAAAACAACAAAGCGAGGATTTCCTGGCACGTCATTTTCTTCTGAATTACATACACGTGTTCACAGCTTCGTATGAAATGTGCACATATGCTATTGTGTTTCTTTTGTGGAGATATACGTAAACTAATGTGTACTTTACACGTGTATTTGTTCAATGATAGTGTAAGGTATTGATACAGGTGATATTTCAGATGTAGAATATTGACAAGGAAGAAAGCTGGTTCATCGCAACAGATTATGTTAACTGACAGATAACTGTATCAGACATATGCCTCTTTTGTAAATTCATTCAATTAACACAGTTTTAATTAGTAAAGATAATGCGTGTATAAGGCTAAGGCAAAACAAATTCCATGGAGATAAGTCAATATGCAATAATTTTGATTTCTGTAAGGAATTTAAAAGTAAAGTTTTCAGCAACTTTTCAGTGAATTCCTTGAGGAATTCCTTCACACTCTTCTTTCAGTAAACAAACAAAGACAAAGTGAACGCCAGACCATACCATCATCCAAGTAATCACTTTGACACATGCGCTCTCTATATATTTATTGTCGCTTTGCGAGGATGCCTTCAAACATTCATTTCCACATTGCTGGAACATATTAGGATATAGACCGCAGTACAAATCAGACTGTCACATTCGACAGTGAGATTCGCAGATCATTTGTCACCAATGGGTTCTTCTGCCATTCTTGGTACCGGGTACTTGTGGGTTTCATTCAGGTTTGAACTTGAGGATTTTCAGTTCTCACTCTTCTACGAAGGAAACACCAAGGGTGTTCATTTGGGGTCACACCAGGATTTGTCATATATTTCGGAATCAGATTTTGAACGTGCTCATATGTGAATACATGATGACATTGTTGTGGATCCATTGGTGCGATCAACTTCGCCTCCATCTGTTTATCCAGTTGTGAAAGTAGATTTGTATTGTAGGTGCTTCCTATACATAATATTCATGCTTACATTGATGATTTCTGAAAACAATTACTTGTGGCTTCACCAGTAGCCCCAGTGGAGAGAACAGGACGTAGGTGGGAGAAATGTTTTTGAGGTCATTTATGCAGAAAAATTGCAGGTTGTATTCTTACTATAAAGGATAAAATAATGAACCATTTTCGTCTGACAACGATCCTGACTCTCAGGATTCAAAACACATAAACTGCACCTGACTGATTTGAAACATTCCTTTTGTGATGTTTTGTAAGGATAGTGTTATGAGACGTTGCTTTAGCGATGGCTCCTTGACCTCCACATTCAGACGATTGAAAGGAAAGGTTCTGTACGCACAACGTCTTATGACTTGATGAATTGTAGCAAATAATTTTAAATAGATGAAGCCATAATCAAGTTTTCCTGTTTCTGATCCCATCCGCACAGACTGACGAAAGAACACTGATGAACAATAGGAGGACTACTTCACTTCGAGGCATATATCAACATCTACAGCCTCTGGTGCATACATCTCGCGGCTGTTTAATACAACCAGTCTATTAAAATGTCTTATAAAAATCAATAATAACACTGACCTACATTTAATGCGTCACTGATTATAAAACCCGGAAATGGGATACAATTAAACGTATCCGACTAATTACTTTATTAAAAAGAACTTACTGCGACAGAATATTTGATCAAACGGTTATTGTATGTTCTGAACCTTGAACCAAATTACAGGACATGTCTCAGCATTGTTGACAATACTCTCGCAGACAGTCAGCTGATTCAATATGTCATTTGTATGTTTGACTCTCTTGACACCGACGACACGTGCCAGACGGTGTACAGAAGGAGATGAGTTGACGTCAGACTCCCTTCTTCATCAACATTGTCAGAGGCATCTGTGCAGGGTAATTCCACAAGTGTTGCTATGTCAACAACAATGATCAATTATGGGAAATATATGACTACATTTGCTGAAACAGTAACTAATACTCAACACCAGGTTTGGAACGAATTATGTACACGTTTTGATATCGTTTCCCGAAAGTCACTTAAACAGTTTGGTCTTGATGGTGTTTCTATTTTTGTTCTAATTTGGTTTTACTTGACATTATGTTATATGTTGGTTTTACTTGACATTATGTTCTAGTTTGGTTTTACTTGACATTATGTTCTAGTTTGGTTTTACTTGACATTATGTTTTAGTTTGGTTTTATTTTGGTTTTAACACTTGACATTATGTTCTAGTTTTTATTTTTATGTTCTAGTTTGGTTTTACTTGACATTATGTTCTAGTTTGGTTTTACTTGACATTATGTTCTAGTTTGGTTTTACTTGACATTATGTTCTAGTTTGGTTTTACTTGACATTATGTTCTAGTTTGGTTTTACTTGACATTATGTTCTAGTTTGGTTTTACTTGACATTATGTTGCGGTAAATACAGACAGTACGCGTGTGTTTTCCATTCCTTTACAAAAGGGTACAATATCATGACTGATTACATACTGGCAGAGAAAACCCGTGAAGATCCGCGTCAGAATGGATCTCCAGCAACCCGTGTTTGTAGCAAGGAGCAACTAACAGGATCGGGTGTCGGGTTCGCTGCCTTGGTTGACGTTGATGTATGCCATCGCTTCCCAAAAGGCCATGGATGCTCGTGATTTTAATCATTGGACTGTCTGGTACAAATACATAAATCACTAATTGACATCGCTATAAATGAAACCCTTCGTCATTAAAACTACTCATTTCGATCTTTAATTGACTTAAATCGACCTTTTTGACAACAGTGCACAATTCTCACCCGCGAACGAAATTTCAACCAATCAGAACGGCGCGTCTCTGTGACATCATATGAGGAATAGATATGAGGGCCGGTGCAGAATTCATGTACATTTCAGGGGGTAAATTATCTTGTTTGCAGGTTTGTAAAAAACCTGAAGTCGTGACAATTGTTGTGAAAAATGAAAGCAATATGTTCTCACAATCTACTGCCATTCAATTTTGTCTCCTGCTTTGCCTAGTTTCCGAGTTACAACTTGTTTTCATAGACGCGTCTGTCAAAATCGCTTGGTGCTGCTATGCCATATTTGACCAGCCTCGCTCATCACGGTTACGGTTAATTTCTTCAACCTAAACAGTGCGACATTAAGAAGGGTGGATGCCCATCAGATGCAGTTATTTGAAAATATCCCCGGTAGTTCTTGTCTGATTGTAATAAAGTATCAAAGCAGCGTGGGCTTTTTCAGGTTTTCTAATGCTTGGATGGTATAATGACTGATCCAAATTGATCCCATTTCTGTGGTTTATTTTACCTCGATATTTTATCATGTCATGTAAAAATATGACGTCTATTACGTATGATATTAAAAATTGACATTTGATTTATTTGAATCCGTAAACTAAACAACCCGACTTTGCCATTCTTAGAAGAATCTGAAAATAGGTACATACAGTTTTAGCATACATGTATTTCTTATGCAACAATGAAGTTCTGTTTGTATTCTCAAAATCGGCCCATAAGTTTTCACATGCAATTAAAATTGCATGCAATACAGCAATTAATACTCCCTAGTGGTAACCGTGTTAGGTGGTATAAACCTACACATGTTATTTGTCATCATTCACTTGATGGTCAGTTAATGAAATTGTAGCAGGTATAATTAGTGGTAACACCACTTAGATTACCCGACAAAGGTTCCCTTTTGGCATTTCTTGTGTCTGGAGTAAATATTCAACATTATAAACATCGATCAAAGGATTAACCGATAACACGCTGATTGATTAATTACTTTTATCTTGCACAGCGGATTTGTCAAAAGGTAATGTTTATGTATGTAGATTTACTAATCTATACTGAATACACTCTGTCATTTCTGTGTCTGTGTAAAAAACAACGTCCTTCTTTCAAAGGATTAACCGCCAATACATTGATTGATTGCTCATCATTGGCTAACTAAATTACTTTTTTTAAACAATGGCGGACATTATGCAATTAGTTGCCAGGTGTGCTATCTTGGGTGACCAATGAGACTATACACCAGTGTGAAATGCCTGAAACGATATATCACTTTTTCGTATATTAGACTGTTAAAAGACACATCACTTGGAACAGCTGCAGATAAATGGCATATCACTCGTTTTTGTGGATATTGATGGATACATTCCTCGAACAAGGTAATAGCCTGACATTGTTCCTATAACTTTAATCTGTTTTAATTTTAATATTTGCAATGTTGTTTTTATTCATTTGTCGTAGCATTCAATAGTATCATTGTTTTCGCCGTGAAATGTAATGAGACAACATTCACTAGGGCGTGTGTGCGAATTATGATTCACATTGGCAAACTATAAAATGTCTAGATATTACAGTCCTGTTATAAATTCACTATAAGTATCAGCAGATCGTCTGCTTTTTATTTAGTTTCAAAATGCATACAAGTATGATAATAAACTAATTAGGATTATAAGACCAAATATAAAGACGTACATTGACTAGCATCTACATACTGGTGAGTGGACGTTAACCACGTGAATGTAGCAAGAAATTTATCGCGCAGTATTGTCACTTCGACCCCATCTCGCTTCCGTGGAAGAAATCGTTATGTTACAAGTTGTGTCAAGCAAAATCCTTTTGGTCATGATTCAAATACATATGTAACTACGAGTAGAAAGTAGTTTTGATTTTCTAACTTGATGAAAACAAACCATAATCTCATTAATTCTAATAGACTTTAGCCCGTGACTTTACGATTTTCAAATATGGCGGCGCCCTGTCGCGAACATCCGCCAGTCTGTGAATAAATGCTGTTTTGGTTTGTTTTCACCGAGTTACAAAATCAAAACTACTTTCTACTGGTAGTAAAATATGTATTTGATTGATGGCCAATAGGATTTTGCATGACATAGCTTATAACATAACAATTTCTCTCGTGGACGCGAGGTGGGTGTCAATATAATACTACTTACAATATAATCGTTACTTCGACCACAACCTCGCTTCCATGGAAGAAATCGTTATGTTACAAGTTGTTTCATGGAAAATCTTTATTAATATGGTAATCAGTCATATACATATTTTACTACAACAAGTAGTTTTGATTCTTTA